ACATACTACTGAGACTATGGCTGAGATCACTGCCAAGTTCAGGGAGAGGGACCTTTTTGTTCCGCAGTATGTCGCAGATGAGGAGATGAAGAAGGCCCGATACCACGAGATGTTGAGGGATGACATCGGGCAGTTTGTGAGAAGGTACAACTGCAAAACGTTGGAGGATATGATCGTACGAGCTAGACACACACACACACATAGAGAGAGAGAGAGAGAGATTGATTTACAGCAGATTCGAAAGAGGAAGCCGGATGAGGTTCAGGTAGCCACAGGCTCGCGCAAAAGGCCCAAGGGATCAGATTCGAGATCGAGGGATTACTAGAGTCGCGGCTGATCCAGGAGGTGCGGCAGGATGCACGCGGGTGCGTGTAGGAGTGGTAGTGGTGGAGATTCGGGTTGCTTCAAGTTCGGCTGGACTGGTCATCTTAGCAGGGATTGTACTGCTTCCACCACACAGGGATTAGACTAGATATGTTTCCACTACAGTCACGGGGCCACAAGAAGGCCCAATGCCCCCGTTTGTTTTTGGCAGGACAGGTGATAGCACCTGCCCCTGCAACTCTGAGGATCACAAACGGCCGTCAGGGCCGGGCAGAGGCGCCTGCGGTAGGAGGCAAGGCTTTTCAGATGACTACCATGGAGGCACGAGCAACGCCGGATGTCGCAAGTATGCAACCTCCATTTTCTGTTTCCTTCATTCATGATTACATTGTTAAGGATCTGCATCATTATTGGTATAAGTATTTTAGAATTGTGTGGTGTGCTTGTGATTAGTTATATGCCATCTGCATACCTTGGATAATGAATTGGTAGTTAGGGGTCGTGCCCTATGGAAGCAGGTTACTTAGGATGCAGTAACTATAGCATGCTTATGTTGGACTCAGTAGTGACCCACTGGATTCAGGAAGGTGTTATCGAGTAATGGATCAGGTAGATCCTTAGCTATGGCAAGCTTGGTTCTTCAGCAGATTGATTGCAGTATTGCAGAGAAGATTAGGAATTCTTCTTAGGCATTGAGCAGTGAAGTATAAGCAGGATCAAAGTGGGGGAGAACCCTCCGAGTGTACAAGGGTAAGAGCACGCAGATCCAGAATGAGTACACGACCTCTGAGAAGGAAAAGAAGTAGCACAACGATTGATGGGTTTAGGAGTTCAGCGTTGGGAGTTTTGGAGACTTCCCAACAGTTAGTTCATGTAATCAAGATGGTTAGTATCTGGTTGGGAATTCGGGTTGGAGGGTTGCCTGTAGGACTTGGGAAAGTTGGAATGAGGATTTTGAGAATGGTTAGCATGGGATGCTTTCGTGTTAGTAGTTAGTGGCAGAGGCAGCATGTAGAGCATGGTAGAGCGGCAGGAGAGCCGTAATATTTTTCGTCAGCAGCCAGTGAGTATGGAAAGTGTTGTAAGACTACGGGTAAGCCATAGCATTCCCTAGCAGCTTAGTTAGCGGAGTGTGGGCGGAGGCCCGTATCTCCTAGTTAGTGGATTTGGGGCGAGGCCCTTACCTCCTAGTGATCAAGGTAGGAATCAGGAATGAGAAGTGGATGAGAATAGTATGGAGCTTGCCTGCATAGCCCTAGAGAGGTGAGACCTTGGGAGAGGCCGCTCTAGGATGTAGTTGGGTGAGACCCGTGGGTGAGGCCCGTATGAGAGTAGTAGTATAGGTAAGACCTGAGAGCAGGGTTGCTCAGTAGTGTAGTCAGGTGAGACCCGTGGGCGAGGCCCGTGAGATTTAGTAGCACAGGTGGGACCTGGTAAGGACCTTAGGGTCAAGTTAGGGGATCGAGGATCCCAGGACTTGTAGCGCCAAAGTGGCAGAGTAGAGGGGCAGTATTAGGTAGCCTAAGTTTCCTCGTAATTCGCTGGGAGCGACTAGAAGTTTGTGTTGGGGCTAGCGACCGGTGGGAGCCGGTAATCCAGATAGTGATAGATTAGTAGGGACCAGGGTGGTCTCGGTTCATCCGGAAGGAGAATAAGGGAGAGCATAAATTTTCAATCAGTGGCAGTGATGGTAAGCAGACTATGATAGAATTCAATTAGTTGATTGAGGGGTGCTCATCACTAAGTTAATAGTAATGAGAAGTGTCCAGTGGATACTAGCAGTAATGACCCATACTGGAAGTAGCGGGAGTAATGGAGTTGGTGAAGGATAGGACCTACACAGTGACAGAGGAAGTAGTTGGTTATGGAACGTTGCCTTGGAAAGGCCAGAAACCGCACAAGGAAAAAGGGGTGAACCCGTAGGGTGTTCAGCATAAGTACTCGGGGAGTACCAGAAGGTTTGTCAGTTGGGTACGTTGTGCTCCTAGAATGTTCAGGGTCAGGGTTGACCCGAGATTATTATCCACAAGTATTAATGTTACTCAAAATGATCGGGCGGAAGGCCAACAAAGGTAGTCAGTGGATGTTAGGTCTACCAAGCAGAGTGTTGAAAGCAGGACGTTGGGTCGTAGAGAAACTTCGAGGACTGAGTTTAGTTTAAGTGGGGGAGAGTTGTAACACCCATAATCAGAAAGACCAAGAAAGGAAGGGAAAACCCTAATTCAAAGGGGTCAACTCGTCGAGTCCAGGGTGGAACTCGACGAGTCCGAGCGAGATCCGGGTCGAAGAATAAGTGACTGACTCGACGAGTCGGAAAATGGACTCGGCGAGTCCGGTCTGGATTGGGAAAACCTAAGTCCAGGGCTTTGTGCACTATATAATCATCTCATTCTATCCCTTAGGGTTCTCTATAGCCTCTCTTATCCATAACACGAAACCCTAAGCCTCCATTTTAGCACATTCAAGTTTCTTGCCATTTGGGGTGATTTGAAGGAAGTAGGAGGAAAGGAACCTTTGGTGATTCAAGGATTGGCTTTAGATCCAGAGTTGGTGTGGCTTTTCAGATCCTCTGAGGTAATAAGCTGACCCTATTGCACTTAGATCTATCTGATGGTTGAGTTTTAGGCATTTTTGAGTATGGAGGAGGTTTATTTCCGAGTTTGGAGTAGATCTGAGGTTGCTACCTCAGATCTAGGCTATTAAGGATCCAGAAATCCATAAAGTATGCCAATAAGTTGTTGGTGAAGCCCCTTGGTCACAAAACCTAACCCTAGAGTGTTTTAAGCCCATATATCTTTAGTTTCAGGTAAAGTTTGCAACTTTACGTGAGGAATGGACTTGGGAAGAATGGATCTATGAGTTGGAGCCCTTGTATTGCTCGAAAAGCCACTGTATGGATTAAGAACTAAAGCAACTCGGCGAGTCACATGGGTGAACTCGGTGAGTTGGAAGAAGATGGGCTTGGACTCGACGAGTTGGAAGAACAACTTGACGAGTCTGTTGAATATTGTCATGGACTCGACGAGTTAGGTCGCGAAGAACTAACCCTTCTGGTTAAGACTTAGATCGGTGAGTTGAGTGGAGACTCGGTGAGTTGGGCAGGATGGGACTCAGAGATCGTTGAAATCGACGAGTCTTGGGGTGACTCGGCGAGTTGAGTCGTATTATAGGAGTTTCGGAATTCATGGACTCGACGAGTCTTGGGGTGACTCGGCGAGTAGAGTCAGTCAAGAAGGTTGACTTGGACTAGGACTTTGACTTTGGCAAGAGTGGACTTAGACGGTTTCTAAGAGTTTAGTTTGGGACTAAGTGTTGTATGATATTAATATTGATAGCTCGGGGAGCTAGTGGAGCAGCGGTTCAGAGAATTGTTGGTCAACAGTCAGAGGGTTATTAGCAAAATTTCAGCCGTGCAAGTGAGTTTCCCTTTGTGTGAATGGGTCTAAGGCCATAATGTCGGCCCATGTAGTTATGAGTAGGAAGACCCGGGGGTTAGCCCTAGGCACTGTTTGCTAGTATGATATTCCGGACCAAGGTCCGATGTCGGGCAAGTGCCCAAGGAATGGTTTGCATGTTAGAGTATACTTGTTGTCTGTGTGATGCATGTATGTGCCTGGTAGGAAGGTGAGTGTGGGCGAGGTACCGTATCTCACCAATAGTAGAGTATGGACGATGTTCCATATCTTATTAGTAGCAGAGCATGGGCGAGACCCGAGATAGGCATGTAGTGAGTGTGGGTGTGGCCAATATCTCACTTACCATAGGAGCTTAGACGGGGTTCCATGACTCACTAATGACAGGACAAGGGCGAGGCCCAAGATAGGCGAGGCCTAAGGATAGGATTACAGTAGGGTATGTTCAGTTATGTGCTGATTGTATTATGTGGTTAGCGAGCGGTGCCCAGAGACAAGCGGGGCCTAAAAGAAATATATATGTATCCGAGCGGGGCTCGAAGCCAGGCCGGGCCTGGAATGGCGGGGCCCGACTAGTGGGCGTGGCCCAGTACATGCAGTATGTATGCTTTGTGATTGTATGGTATGTGGTAGGTTGGGGAACTCACTAAGCTTCGTGCTTACGGTTTTCAGTTTTGGTTTCAGGTACTTCTGGTAGCGGAGGGAAGAGCCCGGGGTGATCGCATGGCACACACTATTGATTAGTCAGCCTGAGATGTTTTACTCTGATAATGAAACTATGTTTTGGAGTTAATACTCTGAATTATGTTTTGCGTTATGATATGTTTTTCTAAAAATGGTTTTAGTAATGATTTAAAGAAAAATTTTTGGTTTGGATTTTTGGGATGTTACAGATAAACTTGTCGTTGGATGTTTAGAATACGTAAGGGAGTATCTAATGAAGAGGATATACAATGTCATGAAGGAAATGAAAAGGCTAAAGGTCCACTAACACCCACAACAACAGAAACTGCAAGAGGGGGGGGGGGGAAGTATCAAGTCACAGGAGATTTGCAGGATCAACATGTAGTGAATGTTAGGAACCAAACATGCACTTGCAGAAAATTGGAATTCCATGTAGACATGCAATTGCAAGTTTGAATACGATGAGTAAAGACCCAGAGGTTGAGCTTGACATTTACAAATGGGTTCACAAGTTGTATTTTCTAGAGACATGGAAAAAGGCTTATTCTTTTTAAGGTGGAGCCAATTAAGGGGAGATCTATGTGGCCCAAAAGTGAATTTCCCACAAAGCTAATCCCTCCTCCAAATCGCACTCGGATGGGAAGGCCTAAGAAAAAAAGAAAACAAAGTGAGGGTGAAAGGTTAAGCAAAAAACAGAGGGCAAGTCAAGGTGATGGAGCGAATGCTATACAAGAAGGAGGTTCCCAAAAACCAACAAATGATGGAGTGCAAAAGCTATCAAGGAAGCATATCAGTGTTACTTGTAGCAAATGCAAGAACAAGGGACACAACTATAGGACCTGTAAAGGGCAAGGTGGGAATCAGTCCAAGAAGTAATGTGTCATACTTGGGGTTTTTTGTGATTTTGGTTGCTTTTGAAAACTTGGTTGTTATGTTTACACTATTTTGTTGAAATCTTTTGGTTGGTTGTTATGAATACTTGGTTGTTATGTGATTAATCTTAATGAAATGTGCATTTTGGTTGTTATGTTATGAATCTTAATGGAATGTGCATTTTGGTTATGTTATGAATCTTAATGAAATGTGCATTTTGGTTATGTACAATTGGTTCTAATGAATCTTCATACTATTTCTATTGATGTGTTAATTCTAATACATTCATATAATTTTTTCATACCATCATAAGTCACTACAAAAATGATCACATAAAATTACAACAAAATGACCATTTTATCCATACTAATACCCTTCACAGACCAAAACACCCTTCACAATAAACCCATACACAAATCAGATACAGAACAAGACAATCACAAAAAAAAAACCAACTTCCAAACAAGTACATTTTCAGCTTCAAATTGCCATTCTTCAATGTTTTGCAATTAACCACCAACATGTTGTTTCTGCATATCAGTCCATTGCATTGATCCTGTAGCATGTTTACACTTCTAAGCAACTCATTGCACCGTTCCTGCACTGAATTCAAATTTCTTAGCAGACCAGGTATGATGGCTTTAGACCTAGCATACATTGGGGGATCAAGCCACCCGATAAACCCACAAACATAATTATTCATAGGGCATGCAAAAAATCTCCTTCCTAGATTCAGAGGGGTCCAAGACGTTTTCACCAAAACAACTTTCCACAAAAATATAGAACCATTGTTGTTGTAACAGAGTTCAAGAAGAAAAAGGGTAGAAAAAAGAGACGTTGAGGAAGAAGGTTGCAGACAGTAGGGATATTTAAAAGGAATTAAGCCAAAAAACGGTTATGCAAAAATGGTCCCTTACATATGAAATGATGAATTTACCCTCACGTGTGAGGTACATGTGGGGGTTAACAGATCCTTTTTAACGGGAGTTAAGTCCAAGGACCAATTTCACATACAAACCACTTCAAAAGAACCATAAATACAAAAAACTCAGGATTTGGACTAAAACCCAAAAAATTTGCATACCACAGGGACATTTTTGTAATTTCATCAAACAGAAAATATAATCGTTTATTGGCTTCAAGCCATCAGAAACAGAAACCCTAACCAACAACCCCTAAACCCTCACCTCGTTCTCTCAGGTTTAGCCTCGCAGTGTCGCACCAGTGCATTGTGCACCACCGCTGCACCTCACGTCCGCAGAAGGAACAAGGAAGGTAGCAAAATCGACAAGTAAGCACCTTCTTTTCCTAGTTCTTAGTTGTTAGTTCTTCACTTCTTATTAGTTACTTTTCTAAATTGTCACTTCCATCTTGAACGGTTGTATACCTCTGTTTTTACTTCTATTTTGTGGTTCAAAAACCATCTGATTGTATACCTCTGTTTCTCGAAGGTACTAAAAAAACTAACCTGCTGTAGTTGTTTATGGGATCCCTGGTAAAGGATCAACTAGTTTGTTTATCTGAAAGATTACATTCGGTTAAAAATTTCCATATATACATCCAATTTTCATCTCTAGTAATTGATATTTTCCAGTATAATTTGTTATTTTGAATCTGAATTGCCTGAAACGATATTTAGGTTTTATCATCATGGTGCCGTGGGTTTGGTTATACCTCTGTTTCTTTATAAATGTTTTTCATGTAAGAATTGATCTCACTCACATAGTTTAGAATTCTATATTAGTTTATGTTTAGGATTCATCAAGTTCAGCACTTGAAGGAAACAAAACCCTTTGTATGTTTTGGGTTTCACTCTCTTTCTATCAATCATCAAATCTAATGTCATGAGAAGAAAACATTTATATGATTGACAGTGTTTTCCAAACACAAGGTTCCATGCCTTTATGCTTTTAGTAGTTGTTTAAAATTTTGTAGAGATTTTTCTAAAACTCAGTCATATCTTGTAGCTTTGGAAGTTTTAGTGGCTGAAGAAAGAGGGTATGGAAGAGACAAAGCTGTCTTGTGATAATGACAAAATAGAAAGGTATGATGATGTTCTACTTCTATGGAACTTTTACTGGTTGCATTATTTAATTATTATTTTGAATTTGTCTTTTTGCCAGAGAAGCTCCTCAACTAGTTACAGTGTTGAAAGATATAAAGGGTGGGTTAGATGATCTCAGAGCTAAAGTTCATGTCTTGACTTCAAAGGTATGAAACTCCAATAGTTGATTATTTCCGCCAAGTTTCCTTAAATTTATTTAAGTAAAAATGGAGGGGTAAAATGTAACTATGTATATGATATGATATTTTGATCTTTAGGTAAAGTCAGGTGTATACCCAACAGCAGATGGGATGAGCTATCTTGAGGCAAAGCATTTGCTTCTTTTGAATTACTGTCAGTCTCTAGTTTATTATTTGCTTCGAAAGGCCAAAGGCCTTCCAATTCAAGGACATCCTCTCGTCCATAGTCTTTTAGAGACACGTTTGTTTTTGGAAAAGGTCAGCTTCTCATTTTGTTTATCCCTTTTGACTCAATAAACGGTTTTTTCTTACAAAATTACAAATACAATTAATGTGCATCCAGATCCGCCCAATTGACAAGAAGCTGAATTACCAAATTAAAAAACTTACAAACCTAACAAATGGGAATCCAATTCCAATGGAGGATGTAGATCCTAACAAACCGGTTGCTTCAGATGATTCTTTGAAGCTTCGTCCAAACCCAGACATGCTTATAGACAAAGTTGCTCCTGAGGTTTTACTTATTTTTATCTATCTATCTATCTATCTATCATTATGAGGTTGTCATGTTGTATGTAATGATTTATATTTTTGAATGAATGAATTAGGATGATGATGGTTTGTATCGACCTCCGAAGATAGCTCCAACGTCAATGAAGAAGTCAAAAGAAGAGAGAAATGTGTCGAGAAAAGAGAAACAAGCCTTGCGCCAATCCCAACAAAACGAATATGCTAGAGATCTTATCAATGATCTCGAGGGAAGACCCCAGGAGGTTATCTTTTTTTTTTTTTTTTTTTTTAAGTAAAAAATGCGTTTGGTGTGTTTGTTGGGTTGATGACATGATATTTATTTATGACATGATATTTATTTATAGGTGAGGGAGGTTATTGGTACGGAAGATGATAGTGAGGTGAGGAGATATAAGGCAAAAATGGAGGAACGTGCGAGGAGGGAAGAAGACCTATTCACGCGTGCTCCTCTTACAAGTATGGAAAAGAAGAAGCTAAAACAGATGCGCAACTCAAGAAATGGGTGAGTACAAATACAAATACGAATACAAATACAAATACAATCAGTTGTTTGGTTCAATAAAAAAAAAATGAAAAATATAAGTTATTTTGATGGTGGATGTTTGTTTGTTGTACAGGCTGGCAGGTCTAGCTGATGGTTTCTATGATGATATTAAATCCTTGGGCTTACCTTTAGAAGAAGGTGATGAAGGTCAAACATCCTTCATGGATTCAGATGGTGGAGAAAGGAAGTTGAAGAAGAGGCACAAGGTATAAATTTTTTTTTAGCACTTCATTGTTTTACTTATTTTCTATTATTTGTTTCTTAATTATTTTTTAATCTCTTTTCTTCTGTTGTGTTGTTTGTCAACAGAGACGACATTAGGGATGGATGGAGTTTCTCCTACAATTACAACCTTTACTTTTACATTTATGCCATGAGTATCAATCTATGTGTTTTCTACAGTTTGTTGTATTTCTTCAAACTTTTTTCATTTTATCAATTTTGTTTTGATGTTTTCTTTTATATTGGGTTTCTACTTTTTTATTTTTTGCACATAAGCCCCCACTCCTCTCGAATGTTAGTTGCATGATCAAGACTTAAATCCTTCCAATGCTTGAAAACTAGCTAGTTTCATAATTTTGTTTGAAATTTGTTGGTTGGGTTATTTTATAAGGATTTATTTGCAAATTCATACTCTTTCTGTTCCAAAATTATTGTTCAGGGGCAAAAAAAAAAAAAAAACATAAGGAAACATAAATTACTATTAATTTTATATATTAAAATGATATTTTTAGCCTTTCTTGCATTTAATTTCATTGGTAAATGTTTTTGTTGGTTAAGTAATAAAAAAAACCACAAGGAAACATTAATTACTATTAATTTATACATTAAAATATTATTTTTACCCTTTCTTGCATTTAATTTCATAGGTGAATGTTTTTGGTAAATGTTTTTGTTGGTTAAATAATAATGGTGAATATTTTGGTAAAAAAAATGTTTATTTTAAACAGACTATTATTTTGGAATCACTTAAAAAAACAATTATTTTGGAATCACTTAAAAAAACAAACATGGATTATAAATATGCGATGAGAGTATAAATATGTGATAGAGGAAATATGATTTTTCTACACTTTCGAAAAAAGTTACCTACATTTCTTGGGATTTTAGTATTATATTTTTCTATAATCTTTTTTAAAATTATTATTATTATTATTATTATTATTATTATTATGATGATGATGATGATGTTTTATTAGTGTTTTGATGTTTTATTTGGAAAAGCTATGATGCTGTTTGTTTTAAAAAAAAAACCATCTTCAAACAATTTTTTGCTGTTTGGCGTAGCACATGTGTAACATTTCCTTCTTGCAGCAGTTTGTTTTTTGGAAGATTTCAAACTACAAAATCTCTGCGCGTGTGCTGCGTGGCGCAACATTTGATTTGCTTCTTCAAACCTCTTAGTGTTCTTTTTAGAATTTTGGTATAACTTATTTTTTTTTTTAATAAAAAACATTGATTTTTATAAACTTTTATTTACAGATTTAATACAATTTTTTTTTTTAGTTTTCACAATTTTTTTAAACTTGATTTTTTAAAAAAACTTTGATTTTTTTTTTACCGTTTTTGTTAATAATATTTTCAGTTTCAATTACCATCTTTTTTAACGTGTGTAATTTTTTACAAATTTTGTAAACATCGTTTGCAATACTTTCTTAATTTTTTTTATATTTTTTTTAATGTTTTTGACAATTAGTTTTTTTCTAGAATAAAACTGTTAGCTTCTTTTATATTTTTTTAAGTTTTTTTAAAAAAGTTTTATATTTTTATTTTTTACATGTTTTTTTTTAGTATTTTTTTAATATTTTAAGACTAAAATTATTAAAATTTTGGTGTTGACTGTTGAGGATTATTTTTAGTTTATAAAATTAATTTATTTAAATTTCAGTTTACTGCTGATGTTCAAAAACAATAATGCTTCTTATTATATGCTGCAACCGTTTGTTCCATCTCTTCTACTACGGAGGATTACAAAAGTGATCTATAGACTTCATGAATTTTCTCTTCGAAAAAACAAACAACATCTATATGTACTTATAAAATCTCTTTTTCATTATCAAGTCTTTTGCCCTATGGGAAAAATCAAAGATTAGCTATCATTTCAAATTTATATTAAGCAACTGTTATTTTTATTGTTTTGTTATGACAAGTTGTGTAAAGTTCAAAGTGCATATTTTGTGTTAACAAGCTTTCTAGGGCATACATATAAAAGATGAGTGATAGTGAGTTTTTCGTTGTTATATATTAAGTAAATAAGTAATTTTTTTCCAAGTGGTTGGAAAGGCACGCACGATGTGCGGTGTCCGTTGAAAATCAAAAGGAGGAAAAAAAGTTTTAAGATTTCTTTTACAAATGATTTGTATATAATTTCAATTCATTTTTTTCATTGCTTAAATGTTTTGGGGGCTCTTTGTCTTTTTGGGGAAATGACATATATGCCCTATTATGTTTCTAGGATTTACCAATTTATCCACTTAACTTATCGTGTGACTTTATAAGGGAACACGTTACATTTTGTCGGGTCGATTAGGTCATTTTGGCAAAATGAAGGGGCCATCCTGTTACCCCTACCATATCAGATGTTTGTTGACCAATTATTCCTTAACCCAAAACTATTCATCTTCTTCCCCATCTAATATTCTTCAATCATGTTACCCGGTACACATTCATATATCTAGTTTGATAAATAGTACCCAATAAACCTTTATTTGACAATGAGTTGAAATGTTATGTCCACTTGCTACTTTGGTATTTGGGTTTTCCATGTTTGAAACATTTACAATCGTTTGTATTCCATTTAAGCAAAACATTCCTTTTCTTCTCTTCTTTAAAAATATGGAATTGAAACCCGTAATAAGGCTTCGATAGGGTTCCTCTTTTCCTTGACGGGAGGTTGTTTTCTATAATCGAGAAACAATTGAATTGAATGGCGGTGGCAGAAATAACAAAAATTAGGGGAATATACAACTTGTTCGAATGTGTGTTTTGAATCCGGAAGAACCTGATAATGAAGATACCAAATAACAACAAATAGCAGCACAATGTGTGTTTTCAACCAATTGCATCAAACACGATGCATACCATCTCATTGGCGGATCCCACCACCATTGTTGTCACCGGTGGAGCTTTAGTCCTCACCTATCTCCTACTGCCGCTTGTCTTCTCCGCCCTACCTTTCAACTTTCGTGGATACAAAGGTAAATTAAAATCCTATATATGATCAAAATTGCTGCTACTCATCAAACGATTCTAATTTGGAATCATACTTTCCAAACCAGGTGATCTCACTGCTGCTCAAGTTCTTGATCTTGTATCTTCACAAAACTACACTGTGATTGATATCTGATCGGAAAAGGACAAGGGTAAATCTGGTGTTCCCCGTCTTCCTTCTAGCACTAAGAGCAAAATGATTGCCATTCTGTAAGTACCAATTTCTTCCAAAAATAAAACCGACCGTGGACTCATTTCGCAATTCAAAATATTCAAATTGAAAGAACTCCCAAGCAAATTGAAATACAAAACGATGTTGTTTGGGTTTTGGGTTGTTGGGATGCTTATGTGGCAATGAAAACTGGCTACAACAGGTGAAAAAGATTAGATTGCTAGGTTACAAATAATTTGTTCCATCATAAAGCCACAAAATAAGTTAAGTGGCTAAATGGGTAAACCCTAGAAACATAATAGAGCATATATGTCATTTTCCCTTTTATTTATTTATTTATTAAGAAAAAACAACTTCTGATCATTTTTGACTGCATCACACAATACTTGGTTTTTTGTAGTTTGTTTTTTAGAAGACTTCGATTTAAAAACTGATGCACGTATGAGATGTGGCGTAATATTGAACCCCCTCTCCAACACCCTTCTTTGATCCTCTAGCTTGAAACCTTCTTCTTCCTTGCAAAAACACCCACCAAAAGCTCACAATAGCTCTCTCTCTCTCTCTCTCTCTCTCTCTCTCTCTCTCTCTCTCACTCTAAGCACTCAAGACTCGTTTATGGTTTTCTCTCCTAAAGGGTAGCCGTAATACGAGGCCTTAAGTTCCTTTAAATAGGCCACATGCCAAGAAAATTAGGGTTTCCTTCAGCAGCCCTGAATCGGCGAGTCGGCTAATGGACTTGTCGAGTCCACTCATTAATCCACGTCACCAGCCACGTCTCTACTCGACGAGTTGAGGCACTAACTCGTCAAGTCCCTCCACATATCTCAAAAATAAATACTTAAAATATATACCTGGAAATCCAGATATTACAATTCTCCCCCACTAGAATCAGATTTCTCCCTCGAAGTTATGCTCCGCAAATAGCTCAGGGTACTGCTCCCGCATTTCCGACTCCGACTCCCAAGTCAATTCGGGCCCCCTCCGATGCTGCAAATGGACCTGAACCAGTGGCACTTCCTTATTCCTCAAAACCTTCACCTTCCGATCTAAAATCGCGATCGGCCTCTCAATATAGTTTAGGCTCGCATCAACCTGAATGTCCTCTAGTGGAACTATTGCCATCTCATCGGCCACACACTTCCTCAATTGGGACACATGGAAGGTGTTATGGATCTGGCTCAAATCCGCAGGTAGCTCCAACTGGTATGCTACCTTGCCCACTCTGGCGGTCACTCTGAAAGGTCCAATATATCGAGGCCCCAATTTTCCCTGCTTCTTGAATCGGATCACCCCTTTCCATGGGGAAACCTTCAGGAGTACGAAATCTCCGACCTGAAACTCTAGTTCGGATCGTCGCCTGTCCGCATAACTCTTCTGGTGACTCTGGGCCATCAATAGTCTCTATCTAACCTGCTGAATATGCTCGGTCATCTTTAGCACTATCTCGGTGCCACCCATCACTCTCTGTCCCACTTCTCCCCAACAAATGGGAGTCCACCACCTTCTCCCATAAAGAAGCTCATAAGGAGGCATACTAATGCTCGAGTGGTGATTGTTGTTGTAGGAAAACTCAGCCAGTGGTATGTAGGTGTCCCAACTTCCTCCGAAGTCCATGATACACGCACACAACATGTCCTCGAGTGTCTGTATCGTCCGCTCACTCTGCCCATATTTTTGCGGGTGATATGCAGTGCTGAAATGTAGACGCATGCCCAACTCCTCATGAAATTTCTTCCAATATCTGGAAGTAAATCGTACATCTCGATCTGACATTATCGAGATCGGTACTCTGTGCCGTGCTACCACCTCTCTCACATAAATCTCAGCCAACCTCTCTGCAGAAGAGTTCTCACTAATAACAAGGAAGGGAGCACTCTTCGTCAGTCGGTCCACAATCACCCAGATCGCATCAACACCACACACCTTCCTCGGTAGTTTGGTGATAAAATCCATGGAAATCTGTTCCCACTTCCATTGGGGAATCTTTAGCAGCTGCAAAGGACCATGCAGTCGCTGATGTTCTGCCTTGACCCGGCGGCAGGTCAAGCACCTCTCGACTACCCACGCAATATCCCTCTTCATACACGGCCACCGGTAGTCTCTCTTCAAGTCCAAGTACATCTTAGTGGCCCCGAGGTGGATCGAGAATCTCGATCTTTGTGCCTCCTCCATCAGTATACCCCGAGCTCCGCCCGTATAGGGAACCCAAATACGTCCTCGGAAAGTCATAAGCCCTCGACTATCCATCACGAACTATGAAACCTGTCAAATCACCCACT